TGAATGGATGAGACATATGAATATGGTGTAGATACCTCTGATGCTGATGTATGATGAATGGAAAATAAGCCTTGCTGTTGATGCCTGAGTGGGATGGTGTGGGAGTGTGCTTTATGCCTGTGGGGAAATGGCTGCTGGAATGCAAACCACGAGACAGGAAGTAAACTCCGGATGACTCATGTCTTTTGTATCCCTGGAACAAAACATGAACACGTGCAGTGACTTCAAGGCTCCTCCCAGGGGGGAAGAAGGGAACTGAGTCAGCATAGCCATGTGGAGGATGGCTGGAGGGGGTGAATGTGGTGTTGTGGTGAAGAGTGATAGGAGGCAGATAATGAGTGTGACAGAAACGAACGGGGGGGGGGGGGGGGGAGATGAGACAGAGACCAGAACATTCATCACATCTGCCTCCTCTTCCCCCCCCCCCCCCCCCTGGAAGGAGCCTTGCAGTCACTGCACGTGTTCATGTTTTGTTCCAGGGATACCAGACATGAGTGATCCGGAGTTTACTTCCTGTCTCGTGGTTTGCATTCCAGCAGCCATTTCCCCACAGGCATAAAGCACACTCCCACACCATCCCACTCAGGCATCAACAGCAAGGCTCTTACTTTCCATTCATCATACATCAGCATCAAAAGGTATCTACACCATATTCATATGTCTCATCCATTCACTTAACCATTGCCTCCTAAAAGGTCATTCATTTACCCATAGACACACTCTTTATTTCATTGTCTTCTAATGTCCCCAATTTTTTTTTTTTTCCAACAACAGTCCAATATCACTACACAGCACTCACATAGCGCCAGCAGTTTGCTCAGCGCTTCACGTTTGAATAGATATATACGGTCTACAGCCACACTCGTTACTTTAAACTGATAATCATCCACTATCCACTAGTCTTATTACTTTTATGATGTTTAATATTATTATTTTTTTTATCATCATTGCCAGTGTTACTACTACGATTATTTTTATATATTTTATAAAAAATTTTTATTTAGCTACATTTGCAGGTGCTATATTCATGTATTTTTAATAATTTTTTATTTGCTTTGTCTCTTAGTGCATGTATGTATCTTTGTATATGTGTATATGCATGTGTATATATGTATGTATATGCGTTTATAAAAACTACAAAAGATTGCACTTTAAATAACCCCCTCCAACCCCTCATCTTATAACAAGTAGAGGAGGTGGAGATTTGCTCCCAAGGCATCTAGCCCTGGTTATTTACTACTTGACCTCCATACAGGTTGGTCATCAGCTCTGAGGAAAGGGATTCGTCCCCGAAACGCGTCAGCCATTTGACCGCACTGACAGTGAGAACACCTTGCCTGCCATTGTGGCCATTGTCATTTTTCTATGCTTTTGAGATACATGCTTCGTCTGTGAGTATGTTTTTATTATTCTTTCACTCCTACAATAAACCTTGGATAATGCACTAGGTGTGTGCGCCACCTGTTTTCTCTCTATCCAGTGGCTGATTTCCCCGTCTGAGGAGGGCTGCACCCCTGAAGCATTTCCTTTGGTTGTCGCTTTCCTGGTACCCTTGGCTTCCCTTTTGGCTGTGCATATCCTGAGGCGCTGGAGAGTACATACGATATCTGTACTAGCTGGCCTAGTTGTTTTCTTAACTGCCGCAGCTCCCTTTGCGTAGACAAAGCTAGGGATTTTTTATGGACCACCCCCAATCACCTAATGCATTTGAACAGAGCAGTAGTCTGCAATGTCCTTTCTTTGTTCAGTCTAGCTCCATTGCTTAATAAAGAGCCCCCGTATCGTACATTTGTGAGCTTCTCAAAAGGATCAAGGGTCTCGTCTCCGGGACATGATTCAGCTGAAAATAAGATGAAAGCGCTTAAGATACTTCTGCATGGTGGTAGCATCTTTTAGCAATGCCTCATTTAGTCTCCCAGAGGAGAGATCTATTGTGACATAAAAAAAAAAAAGAAAAAAAAACGAAAACAAAACACTTTTTTACTTTTTGCTATAACTATGGTGTATATGTGCATGTGTAATATATATACACACACATATATACACACACACAAATATACATACATACATACACACACCATATCCTTGTATTCAGGTGTTCCAATCGCCTCCATTGCTACAGGTGTATAAAAATCAAGCACAGACTGCTTCCACAAACATTTGTGAAAGAATGAGTCGCTCTCAGGAGCTCAGTGAACTCAAGTGTGATACTGTGATCACGGTCAACTGTTAGTGGTATTATAACAACATGGAAGCAACTGGGAACAACAGTAACTTAGCCACGAAGTGGTAGGCCACGTGAAATAACAGAGCAGGATCAGTGCATGCTGAAGCGCACAGTGTGCAGAAGTCGCCAACTGTCTGCAATAGCTAAAGACCTCCAAATGTCATGTGGCATTTAGATTAGCACAACAGTGTGTAGAGAGCTTCATAGAGTGGACTTCATTGAAAGCGTCGGATGTAGTGGTGTATAGCACGCCACCACTGGACTCTAGAGCAGTGGAGACATGTTCTCTGGAGTGACGAATCACATTCCTCTGTCTAGCAATCCGATGGATATATCTGGGATTGGCGGTTGCCAGAACGGTACTTGCCTGACTGCATTGTGCCAAGTGTAAAGTTTGGGGGAGAGGGGATTATGGTGTGGGGTTGTTTTTCAGGGGTTGGGCTTAGCCCCTTAGTTCCAGTTAAGGGAACTCCTAAGGCGTCAGCATACCAAGACATTTTGGAAAATTTCATGCTCCCAACTTTGTGGGAACAATTTGGGGACAGCCCCTTCCTGTTCCAACATGACTGTTCACCAGTGCAAAGCAAGGTACATAAAAAACATGGATGAGCGAGTTTGGGGTGGAGGAATTTGACTGGCCTGCCCAGGGTCCTGACCTCAACCCGACAAAACACCTTTGGGATGAATTGGAGCGGAGACTGCAAGCCAGGCCTTCTCGTTTTACATCAGTGCCTGACCTCACAAATGCACTTCAGGAAGAATGATTAAGCATTCCTATAGACACACTCTTAAAACTTCTAGACAGCCTTCCAAGAAGAGTTGAAGCTGTTATAGCAGCAAAGGGTGGGCCAACTCAATATTGAACCCTACAGACCAAGACTGGGATGCCATTAAAGTTCATGTGCGTGTAAAGGAAGGCATCCCAATACTTTTGGCAATATAGTGTATGTAGCACCATCTTTAGCATATTGTATATGTAGCACTCCAATGAAGAATAGGCCCAGTATTTTAGAAACTCAAATTTAGCTCTTTAAGCTTACGAGGAGTCCAGGTAGGGTCCCCAAGGTACATACTGAGGGTGATTGATCTGGAAACTGCTAGATAGCCAAGGGCAATAAGCAGCCAATATTGATAGAAGCTTCAGAGAAAAATATGTCTGTAGTGGAGAACAGGTCTATCAACTAAGGACACTAGCAAAAATAATGGAGTCTTAGAGAATGAGCAGGGTTATAGGTATACACTTAAGGGGTGGCCCTACCAAGTTGTTTGCCAATGTTCAACTCACATGAAGGTAGCCTGGATGTAATACATGGTCTATGAATACATGTCCTGTGTATTGTACTGTATGAATAAGATAACTGAGGCATGAGTGTTAGTAGCAAGCTGGCTTAAACCTTTTTGAGTTTGCTAGTGTTCAAACCTTTTAAAGGTGGCAGCATAACCAAAATGTCCAAGAATTACTATATTCCTGTGTCCCTCAATAGACAATAATAAAATATATTTAATGAAATATTAAATGATTACAGAGCTACAAATATTTGTGTTTTTTTAAATCTTCCTGGAATTCAGCTTTACAGTAAAAGTGTTCAATGACTGTCAGGGAAAGGACAGGGAGGGTAAATTGCACAAACTACAGAAAGCACCTTTTCCCACTCAAGAACATATTTTGCCAAACGTCCGAACAGGTTTTTCATCAGACATGTTTTAGGCCCCTTTCACATGGGGCAGATTCCATTCCAATCCTCTGCCGATTGGAGCAGTGCGGGTGAATGACATCTGTGTCTGCTGAGTTTCTGCAGAGCACACATAACAACTTTGCTGTATGGGTGGTCGGGAGCAAACAGACTCCACTGTCTGTTTATATTCAACTAACTCTGATCCACCTACAGAAGAGATTTTTTTTTTTGGTAGACTCAGACTAAGATGTAGGCAGGTGTAAACAGACAGAAGTCTGCTTACATCCACCTGGGTCACAGGGATGGACCGTCCGATCAGGTCTGCCTGAAAAACTGACAGGGGGACCTGATCGAAATGCCTGTTTGAAAGCGGCCCTATGAATAGGGTGAATGTTGCAAAATAAATTGTATGACTGAAAAGTGAAGAAGTTTTTATTGTTGTTTGTATCCTTGCTGAGGAAATTAAGCACAGCCACCAAGACAAAAAATTATAGGAAATCCACAAAATTACAACTGTCATCAAAATGGGAACACCTATTTAGATGGAAATTTTTTTTCCCCCCCCAAACAATCTTTATTCAAGATATGTTCAGTTGAGAGTCCAACAAAATGACAAAAAGGTAATTATGAATATTAGGGCTTTAACAATATATTAAAAAAAAAACAGGTTCCATATTCAGTGTCTCTTACAGGTACAGAATCGTAGAAGTTTAGAGATAAGGGTTGTAAATGAACAGGCTCAAACAGACAATGCATTACATAAAACTAAGATCAGGTAATCTGGATGGGATATTTGAAACAAGCAGAGAATCTGGTGGTTATGTAGGACATAGTGGGAAAAAATAGGTTGGCAGAATCAGAGAAAATAAAAAAAAACATTTGATAGGGTTTTAACCATTTTCTACAGCATCCCAAACAATTACTTCTCAAATATAAACTTTAGCAGAAAAAAAAAAAAGAAAATAAAAAAAAAACTTGATAGGGGTTTTAACCATTTTCCGCATCCAAACAATTACTTTAAATATAACTTTAGCAGAAAAAAAAGCAACACCGCTTTGAAAGCAGCACAAAATAAACAGACATGCCTACTTACTTACTTTTGGTTAGTATCTGGAGATCTTCAACAGAAGGTGGAGTATTTTTTTTCTCATAAGGAATAACTGTGGTTAAATACTGTGGAAAAAAAAAAATTGTTAAATATAACTTTGCATTTCACATCAACAATCTTGCATCACAAATAACTTACAGTGCACTTCTACAAAGTGTCCTTATTAGTAACAGTGAATCTCCTATAAAGCAAGAAAAAAAAAAAAAAAAAAAAAAAAAAAGGTTTTTATGACATAACATGGTATGGATATACGGTTCATCAACATACAGGTGAAACTCGAAAAATTAGAATATTGTGCAAAAGTTCACTTATTTCAGTAATGCAACTTAAAAGGTGAAACTAATATATGAGATAGACTCATTACATGCAAAGCAAGATAGTTCAAGCCGTGATTTGTCATAATTGTGATGATTATGGCTTACAGCTCATGAAAACCCCAAATCCACAATCACAGAAAATTTTAATATTACATGCAATCAATAAAACAAGGATTGTACATAGAACAATATCGGACCTCTGAAAAGTATAAGCATGCATATGTACTCAGTACTTGGTTTGGGCCCCTTTTGCAGCAATTACTGCCTCAATGTGGCATGGCATGGAAGCTATCAGCCTGTGGCACTGCTGAAGTGTTATGGAAGACCAAGACTGTGGAAACTTCACACTGGACTTCAAGCATCTTGCAGTGTGTGCCTCTCCATTCTTCCTCCATAATCTGGGTCCTTGGTTTCCAAATGTCTTTCCATGTCACATTGAAAATTGAGGTCTGTTATCAGTGATGTGAGGGGAGGGAGCCTAGTAGTATTCCATAACTTAGTGATATTGATTTTAGCCGCAGATAGTGTGTGCATAATGATGGTACGGGAGTCGTGGGGAAAATTGTCAATTCCAATGCGTAGGAGTGCAAGAGCAGCGTTTGGGGTTATTGAGGTGTTGGATGTCATTTGGTGTTGGATTGTGAAATCAATTGGAAGACGCTGTTCCAGAAGGATCTAAGTGATTGGCATGTCCATAGTGTATGAAGTGTTGAGCCTATTTCTCCACATTGTCTCCAGCAAGAGGACGAATGTTTTGGGTAGTATAGAGATAGTTTAATGGGTGTTCGGTACCATTGATGGAGAATTTTTTAGGTACGATTCCCAATGAGAGCTGCATCGGGAAGATTTATGGGTGATGCTGAAAGCTTTTTCCCATGATTGTGTTATTAGTTGTGAGAGGATTTTTCCGCAATTAGTTAGAGATGTAGTTTGTAGGGTAAATTGTGAGTTTATTGTGTATGTGTAGAAGGTGGAAATACCCTTACCTGGGTATTGTGGTTTGTTTAAGAAATAGTATGCAGCGATAGGAATTTTCGTGAAAAAATGAGGTATATTTTTCGTTTGTAAACAATGAGCTATTCTCATGTAGGTGAAATATTCAGTGCTGGGAAGATTAAATTTGTTTTGGAGAGTCTGGAAAGACTTTATTTTGTGATCTGTGTAGAGGTCTTTTATGTTAATTAGGCCACAATTTTCCCATTGTAATAAGTTTAGGGAGGGGGTAATGAGGTGTAGTATGTTAATTGGGGTGGGGATATGTTTAGTATCTGTGAATTTAGTAGTTAGGAGATCGTACCAGGCTTGTAGAGGCTTGGATACATGGGTGTTTTAGTTGACATTTGGTATGGGGTGTTGGTGGTATTAAGAGTAGGTTTCGTGGTATGAGTGGGAGAAATGGGAGGGTTTCCATTGTGGACCAAATTTTCTCTTTTGTTGGGTTCCACCAAAAGTATATTTGGTCAAGAAAAATGGCATTGTAGTAAGATTTTAGGTGTGGGAGGCCTGCTCCTCCTCTGGATATTGGGCGTATTAGGAGATCTGTAGTGCATCTGGGTTTTTTGGAGTTCCAGAGGAAGTTGGAAAAACACTTGTAGTTTAGAGAAGAAGGTGCTGGGGATGGGTATGAAGTGTGCGGAATGTGTACAGTATTTTGGGTAGTATGTACATTTTCAAAGTCGCTACTCGTCCCAGTTTGGAAAGTGTTGAGGTACGGAGTGAGGAAATTTCTTGTGGAATGATTTCGAGTAGCATCTTGTGGTTTGAGGAATATAATTGGTCTGTTGTTGCGGTGAGTTTGATTCCTAAGTAGGAGATTTGGGTTTGTTAAGTTTGTAGTAAGAAACTTCCAAATAGAGGTGTGTGCGAATCGTTTGGAGGGATTTGTTTGGGTTAGTTACCATTAGTATGTCATCTGCGAATAAACTGATTTTATGTTCTGTGTTGAGGTGGGCGATTCCAGTAAATGCTGGGTCGTCTCTAAATTTAGAGGCTAAGGGTTCAATGAGTAATGTAAATATTATGGGCAGCCTTGTCTAGTGCCGTTTGAGATGTCAAAAGGATCTGATAATGTTCCATCTGTTAGTACTCTGGCTGATGGGTTGGTGTAGAGAGATAGAACAGCTGACAACATCCAGCCTGTTATGCCAATTTTTTTGTAGGGTTAATTGCATAAATTGCCACTGTATTCGGTCAAATGCCTTTTCTGCGTCTCAGGATAGTAATAAGGAGGGATGTTTGGGGAGTTCTAGGTTGTGGAGAAGGGATATAAGTCTTCTAGTTGCGTCAGGTACTTGGTGGCCTGGGATGAATCCTACTTGGTCTGGGTGTATTAATGTAGGGAGATAAGGGAGGAGTCTTTGGGCTATTATTTTTGCATAAAGTTTTATGTCTGTGTTGAGTAATGATATTGGTCTATAGTTCTGGACAAGTTGTGGATCTTTGCCGGGTTTCGGTATAGTTGTGATTATAGATTGTAACATTTCCTTGGGAAATGTGCCTGTAGAGGCAGCATGGTTAAAGAGTTTGGTCAGATAGGGTTAGAGGTCGGAAGCGAATCGTTTATAAAATTCTTAGTGAAACCTTAGTTTCCTGGTGATTTATTAAGTGGGAGTGTTTTGATGTTTTTTTCGATTTCTGTAGGAGTGATTGGAGTGGAGATAGTAGTGAGTTGGGATGGGGAAAGTTGGGGGAGTTTGGTTGTGTAGAGAGAGTTTGGTTGTGTGTAGAAATTGTTGTATGGGTGCAAGTGTTGGTTGGGTAGTATCTGGGTCATTTTTAAGATTATACAAATTTTGGTAATATTTCGCAAAGGCGTTAGATATTTCTTGTGGATTTGTGAGAGGTATGAGCAGTTGGGTGTTGGATTGAGGAGATTTTGTATTTTAAGCGTCTTTGTTTATTTTAGTTAGTAGAGAATTTGCCTTATTGTCTAGAGAATAGAATTTTGCCTTCATTTTTTGTAGATTAAGGTCATATTGGTAAAGTAGGATGGATCTAAGTTTATGCCTGTCTGAAGCGAGGGAGGTAGATGTGGACGGATTTGGGGATTTTTCATTCATTTCTTCTTTTAGTTTAATTGATGTGAGAAGCTGGTCAATTTGTTGGGTTCTTTGTTTGGTGATGTGGGAATTTAATTGTATGAGAATACCTCTCATGTATGCTTTGTAAATGGACCATAATGTGGGTATAGAAATATCAGGTGTGTCATTAAGTTCAAAGAACATGTTGTGTGCACCCAATATGCGTTATTTGAGGTCTGGGTTCTTTAGTAGTGCTGAGTTCAGTCTCCAAATTCGAGGGATCGAAGAATGTTGATTGTTGTCAAGGGTAATGTTGATTGGAGCGTGGTCTGACCATGTTATGGTGCCGATTTTTAAGGAAGTTATAGGCTGTAGGGTCCTCTTGTCTGTGACGAAAAAGTCAATTCTGGAGTAGGATAGGTGGGATGGGGAGTAATAGGTGTAATCTTTTTCTGTGCTGTATTGGCAGCCCCAAATGTCGTAGAGATTGTTATGCAAAAATTGGTTGAAGTTATGTTTGGAGGAGCGTTTGTTGGAGGAGTCCAGAAGTGGGTTGCCAATAATGTTGAAGTGTCTGCCAAGGAGAAGTCTCCCTTGTTTTTGGGAGGAGATGATTGATTGAAGTTTGTTGTAAAATTGGAATTGGTTGTTATTGGGGCCATAGACATTGACCAGGTTATATAGAAATTCGTTGATTCTGCAGATCAGGATATGGTAGCGGCCTTTTATAGCGGTGATGACACCATTCTTTTTCTTAGGATTCGTTGCCATGTATACATGGGAGAAGTGTTGCATATAGAATTTAGGAATTTTGGTTGATGCGAAGTGTGTTTCCTGTAGGAAAAGTATGTCGGCGTGTAGTGAACGAGTTTCTTTCATGAGTAGGGACCGCTTGTAGGGGGAGTTTAGGCCACGAACATTTAGAGATGATATGATATATTAATCATTTTGTTGATTGTTGACTGGTTTTGATGAGTAGGAGAGTTGTTTCTTAGGTTGTTGAGTAAGGCGAATTTTCTGTGGTCGTAGGTAGTGGTCTTCCATAGGTGTGGTAGTATAGTTTCGATTTGGTCGCTGGGTCTGACGGTGTTTTCACTTATGTGTTGGAGGTTTTAGTAGGGAGATGAATTGATTCAATGGACTGGTGGTGCAGGAATGGGAGAAGGGTAAAAAGGGTAAAAACAAAATTGTGAAAAATACAAGTAACATGAGTAGCATATCTTGCTACTTCGTAACAGAGGGGTATGAACAAGCATGAACTGTGAAAGAGGTCTACTGAAAAATAACTTGAGGCTTAGAAATATTCGATGAAGGGCCGTTTGCCAGCAATTGGTGGATTGAGGGGCAGTGCCCAAGATAATGGGTATTTAGTGGTGCGAGGAGGTGGTGGATCAAGACCACTCTGCATCCATTTGCTGCGTATTATTGGAGGTGGATTGGTGGGAGTCCACAGGTTTTATGTTCCAGGTTTTCAGGAGTTCAATGCCTGCTTCTAGATTTTTGATGGTGTAGATCTTACCGTGGTGTTCGACGGTAAGTTTTGTGGGGAAGCCCCATTGGTAGCCTATACCATGGTTGCGCAGTGCTTTGGTTATAGTGACGAGTTTTTTACTGTTAAGGAGTGTGGCTTTAGATAAATCGGCAAATAATTTGATATTCGCATGTGATGGTGGGATTGAAGGATTTCTGGCGGCTGACATTTTCTCTTTTATGTGGTAAAAATGTATG